CTCTAGTAATATATTCACTGAGAAAAATGCTGACGTTTTCAATACTTATTTTAACCCGCTGTATGTTAAAACTATCTCCTACTGAAGTTGTATTTACCATAAACTTCCACCAGTGCTACGTGTATTAAAGTTTGTTTTACAGTAACATAATCTATTTATATCCTAAAATGTAGTTTGTGTAACTTAGCCTTCTTGTCTGAACACGCCAATTAGCCCCATTGCTCCACAATCTCCCAACTTGCTTGTGCCTTTTTTTCAGCTCCAGTAAATTAGAGAATACCTAATAATGTCTTGACAATATGAAGCATCTGGAAACAGTTGGAGCTTTTTGAGTCATTTCATATTGTTCTAAAACAAAAGTCAGTGTAATGCATCTTAATAAGGATGATTCATTTCTGCCATCTATTGTTTGTGTAAATGACTCTCCTTAACTTTGAGTGTAATTGCAGCAGCTTCATTATTAGGTATGAGATCAGTATTGATCTAAGGTATGATGAATCACASATAAGTAGTTAATTATGAAGAATGGCTTTGACCTAGATTTTACTTCTTCAATTCTGGACTGAAGGACTGAAGGACTTTCGTGCTGATTGTGGAAATATAGAAGTTGTTTGACCTTTGCACCAACAACTGTAGCTGTGTTCACACTGATGATCCCCAAAGCTGCATTTTGTCAGTTTATTATTTAATAATCAGGATTGAATGGTTTCTATCATTGAGAAATATGTTCTCCTTGTATCTTGATTCAGTGAAGTAAACAAAAAAACTCCTCAAACGTGACTTTTTAGCTTAGATGAGTCACATTAGTCCAGACTGAGCAAAAATCAGATAYCTTGCTGCATTAAATTAGATGCACCTCATGAAGTTACTTGAAAATCAACATATACTTGACCATGAGATGTTTACTCATTGACACAAGAAACCATGTGTAGGCCGCCTGTCCACTTTAGATGTACTAGAGTTTGGTTTGGGATTTGGTGGGAGGTGTTCTCATAGGATCTGATGAATAGCTGTTTGTGCAAACCTGCGTGGGAAGGGCTAACACGGGTTGGCCTTTTTACCTCGACATTCACATCAGCTGGTAATTGACACCATATGTCAAAGAGACAAACCTCTCCATAATACGCACCTCTCACTTCAGTACTCAACTACATGAAGCGGCAGTAAATTAGACCTGCAGCAATTTGTTCAATCTGGGTTAATGAATATATTAAATGAATTTACATCTGCAAATAAAACTACATTTTTAAGAATGTTTTGATGACAGGATTTGTTGGTGCTTTGTGACGCTTTTTATAGAATTTGTCATCTTACAGTTGTTTTCACATCAGTCAATGTTCAGTGTGTTATTTCAGCTGAGTGAATCAGACACTTATCTTAGGTAAGGCTGACTATACATGCCCATTTGGTTGAATGGGTACAAATTAGAGTGGGTGATGATAAGGACTCAAGACACCCTGCAAAACTGCAGCTGCAGCTCTATAGAGCCTGATGGTTCAGAGGTCCTGGTATTGCTTAAAGGCTGTACAGTGGTCTGAGAGACAGACGGTAATTTGACATACCCTAGGATGGTATTTTTGCTTCTGTAGTTTGGGAAGTTCCAGTTCAGACTTGTATGGTAACAAGTTCCAAGACAAAAAGGCAGGTATCATGCTATTTCTGTGAAATATTCATGCCTTAATTTCAGGTTTTATCCCTAAGAGTTACAGAGTGTGAACCTAAATTTAAGTACTACGATTTATCAAAAGCATCTTCACTGTGATCTACTATTGAGTGTTGGACTTGTGGGAACAAGACAAATTCAGACTATTGTTTTATGAAGAACCATTTTTTAAATAAAACATTATGAACATGGTCATAAGTTCAGTGTATTTGATGTAGAATGTGTTTATATTTTAGGCAAACTTGCAGGCTGTGACATATCAGGGGTATGTTGCAAATTTTTTGTGAACATGCCTGTTTACAGCTGCAAACYGACATTGAAAAGACTGAACTTTTTGGAAATTGCAGCAAGGCTCCTAACTAGAAAATTAAAAAAAGATGCATGTGACTCTTGTTTATATTGTTTTCTGGTTACTTTTAGAATGCATCTCTTAGCCATTACTCAGAGGCTTGCTTGGCCAATGCATATTTCTGAACCCTGAACATTGGTTTGTGTTTGTCCTTGCTACCCTTTCATTCTGGACTGTGGAGAGTTTAAGACATTATAACACCTCAGCTATTCTTCAAACTGCTGGCTTATTTTTTTATTATAATAATTATTATTTTTTGCTTTGAAGAAAAGGTGCAATGAGTTATCACCTTTTCCCTTTTTTACCTCAGTAACTTAGTCCTTAAACCTTGCCAGAAAATGGGGAAGGTACTGATCTGTTTAGCTTTGAGTTTGAAAAAAGAAAAATAGTAAGGTAGTGTCCATATAGTGGCAGAATGTTGGATTCTTTGAGAACCTTGCGAATGTAAACATCTTTTCTGACACAGTTTTCTCGAAGGAATTTGTTGAAAGTGCACATGAGACCACTCGACCTCACATATGGCTCGCTCCAAGTAGGCAGACAGATGGCAGCCCCAGATTTAGAGCTCAGCGGATTGTGGAGGTGTGAATTATGTAATCTCTGCAAACGGATCTCTTTCATGTGTGTTAAAATGTGTGTGTGAGGGTTCAGTGTCTTATGCCCTGGCTTTGAAACGGTGGGTTTTTCAAGGTAAAAGTGAAATGCTGAAAGAAAGCCTCTTGGGGTGCAGGGTGCAAAGGGTGATCAGGTTCACCAACGTTCACCTGCCCTTTCACTGTCATGCTAAAGCTAAGAATTTTTAACCTCAGTGTGTATCTATTGTGGCTTTCTGTATTTTCCCCTAAAAGGTGATTAAAAAACCAACTTGTTTGCAACCATTGTTTCTGTTCAATTTTGTAACAGATGCTTGGAGAGTTGGGATCTAGCTTGGGCAATTTGGGAATGGACAGGAAACCCCTTTTATCCTCTCTTTCTGACTGCTGTGTCATTTAACTGGAATGCAGAGGTTTCAACGTAGTCTTTGGACCCACCGACAAAAAAAAGGCATAAATTTTTTGCTACTCCCCAAATATCTACTATAATTGTTAATAAAAAACTTTGAGGATGTGGTCAAAAGACCTGCTTCAGTTCATTGAGCTGTACTACAGTTAAGGTACACATTTATTTGCCATTGCACAGCTGGGTAGTAAATTTTATAGCTTTGCGTGCACAAAGGCTCCAAGCAATCTGAGTAAAAATAGAGGCCAAGAAAAAGGAAAACAATGTGTCACTGAATAATCACAGAAATGAAAGCCTGTCTGTGTTCACCTTAGGGCTTCACAAAACCTGTAATCGAAAAGCAACCCAGTTGCTAACCTTGCTTTGTGAAATTGGCACGTAGTAGTTCTGTGGGGTCTTTTCACTGTATTTAGGTATGATCTTTATTGGTGTGATCAACAAGTGCTAGTGTTTTTAGAAGATGATATTTTTTTTTGAAAATTTAATATACAAACTAATAAGTTTGGCAATGTTTAAATGATTTGAGTAACTTTTGTGTCTATTTACATGTTCATGTTTAATTCAGTGTTGATTTTCAAAGACTCATCCTCTCTTTTACAGGCATTGGATTAGTCATGCAAAAGTGTTATTACCTTGTCTCTTAAGTAACAATCAAAGGAATTATTGGACCATCTTGTATTTTGGATAATTGCACTGTTCTTGCACTGCTGAACATAAGATTATGCAGTGAAAATTATAATTAGTTATTTTCCCAAGAATAGCCATTCAATTACAATTTTAGAAAAAGAGTGGTGTTTAAAGGTCTTAGAATACACAAATGTGAACAGTTTTTGTGACGGGTGGTTTGTTCTGCAGGTGCTAATGTATGTTTGATGACTGCTTTGCTTGACACCAGWTGAACGTTTTCCAAATGTCAAAACTCATATTTGGCAATGAGTTTTGTTGGCAGATGAAAGGGCAGAAAAGATGAAAGAATATRATGACTGAGTGGGGTCTGCCTGTGCAGCGAGCATATCAGTCATATAAAACCCAGCTTGTAGTCAGATAACTGAGATCACACACAATGGTTGAATTACAAGGAATAAAAAAGTGTATTTTGACTTTGAAGAAGTTATGATTATACAGAATAGGTGAAGCACGGGTAACTGGGTTTTTACGGGTTGTAATGCAGTTTGTTCTACTTTTAACATTTACTTTGCAAGATTTTAAAATTTTACACATTCTATGTACTTAACTCAAATGCTAAAATTTTTAATAACTAAAGAGTATGATAATAAACAGACAAAATAAGAGACTTTCAACATTCTTCCCAAAAGACAGATGAAATGTTAATTTTGCATGACATTCTGCAAACAGAGTACATGTAGAGTTACAGTGGCGCATCTGTACAAAGTATTTGGAAAGTCACTTTTGGTACACTGATATAAAATTGCCTATGTTTGTTCTTAGGCTAAACACGAAAAGAACGAAAAGGAATGTCAGCAGCTGATGCTGAAGAGCTGGCGGTACCTGGAGCGCTACATGTACCTCATCCTCTTCAACACATACCTGCATTTGGAGAAGAAGGACTCCTGGCAGCGCTGCTTCTCTGTGTGGATGGAACAGGTACCTTTTATTTAATTCATCTTTTTTTATTACCTTTATGCACCTGAAGGTAGTATCTCACCAGGCGGCAACAACACTAAAGCTTGATTCATATTGCATGGAAATACACAAATTTTCAGTTGTAGCAAATAAAAATTCTGCAAAAGCAGATTCCATTGTTTTGTAATCAGAGTTTTCATTATTATTATTTGTAGTAGTAAAAATCAGCAGTATTATATCTTATTTCTGGGGTGCCATGGAATGTTTAAAAAAGAAAAAATCTTTGTGAACTGGATTAAACTCAAAGGAAATTGACAGAACCCTAAAATAGACTGGAACAATTGCTGTATAAACATTTGTCATAGAAATATGTGGAGTCATCCCGGGTGTATAATTCCTGTTATGAATAGCAAATAAATGCGGTGCATCAGGGTGGCTCTAATTGCCCAGTTATGCCATAAGAAAATACCGGGGGGGCTCAGAAAAGAAAAGAACCTTTGGCTACGTTCACACTGCAGGCAAATCCGACCCAAATCCGATTTTTTTGACCCATCTGACTCATATCCGATTTTTTTATGACAGTCTGAACGCGACAAATCCGATTTTTTCAAATCCGACCCAGGCCGTTTCAGTATGTGGTTTTAAATCGGATATATATCTGATGTTTTCAAAGTGACTGCAGTGTGAACGCTCATGTCACATTCCATCTGACTTTTTCATCAGGAGGAGGGGGTGAAGGATCGATAAGACACTAACCTCAAGTCTCGCTGTTTAAATCTGTAGCTCCGTGTGTTTACAGCTCCAAAACACAAGTCCAGTTGCTTCATCTTTTTACTTTTCATTTTCCACGTAGATAGTTTGATAATAACATGTCCAGCCTGGGTCGCGGAGAGTATCGATCCTAAAGTTCGATACTTGGCCGATACTTTTTCCAGCTCGTAGTTTCGTTAAAAAAAAAAGCTTCACTGGAGCATCCCGGTCAGAGGCAGCTTCAGATATAAACACTGACTAAACAAGATGTCAGATTATTATTTAATCGGCTCTGATTAAACAACAACTTCTGATTCGATGCGCAAAATGTAGCATCCATGCTAGCTCTGTAAACAAACAAGCCGGCTGATGAGACGTCACGTCTCTTACTGCGCACGCGTGTCACATCAGTGCTGTGTAGCGTTCACACAGGGGTCTGATGCAGGTCACATTTAAAATGTAATGTGAACGTTCACACAAAAAGATCGGATTTTTTCAAAAAATCGGAACTGAGCATTAAGACCTGCAGTGTGAACGTAGCCTTTGACTTTAAATCTGGAAACAGAAAAAACATCAATTCACTCTAACGTGTCAAAAATAATCACTTTTGTTTTTGCGTGTTTTTCTACTTTTCTACTAATTTCGGGGGGAAAGCAATTTTGTGAACAAAAGCTCCAGTAATTTTCTGAGCTGAGCTGATCACAGTATGTGAATAATGGTCCTTAGGATGACTTCACAGAAAATGTCTCATTTAAATCAGGTGTTAATAGAAAGGGCCATTACTTTATTTGTTCACTAGAATAAAGAGATATTTTAAATTAATGCTGGGCATATTTTTGTAATTAAATGTTATTTCATCTGATTTCACAATTTTCAATGTTTAAAAACTGTTTAACTCCATTAAAAAATAAAAAAATGCAAGCCAAACATTTATTCAGCATTTTTTTTTATTTACAAAAGCAGTTTCTGATCATTCTTAACCTTGAGCTTCATTCTTTAATAAACACCCACTTCAGTTGCATGTAACAACGCAGTTCAGTTCAGCTTTGTTTATATTTTGTTTATTATTTAACTCTGGCATTGAAAGAGGCTCCTTAAAGCACTTTCAAAAGTAGCTGTCGATGGGGTGCATTTTTAGTTACCACAATTTCTAAACCCTTTTCAGCCCTTTTAGTAACACAGTTATCATTTTCTGGCAATTGTCCTGCATGTCCTAAAGCACTGAGAGCCGGATTTATGCAAGAAGAATGAAGTTCCCAGGATTAGATTAAGTTAAGTTATCATTTGGCTGCATAGTGTCTTTCAAAACTCACTAAAGTACTTGGGAAAGGAAAGCATCAAACAAAGTAAGGTAAAAGGAACATTAATGAGGGTCGAAATAGGTCTTCTAGTGGAACCTGAGCAGAGTTTTATTGTGCACTGCTGTACACCACTTGTGACAAAATTATTACATGTAACTTGTTTTTGTCACTGAGGTTGCATGTTGCTGATGATATGAGGTGTTTTCAGATCAATGTGAGCATGATTTCTAATCAGCACATGCTTACAATTGAACCAGTCAGATCCCTTTATTTCATTCATTGGTTCCCATTGTGGTAAAAAAAAAATAATGAGGGTTACTTTAAATCACTAAAAGGTTATATAAAGGTGTCTCTAAAAGCGGTTTGTGGAAAGCCAAGGTCCCTGCTGTGCAAAAACATAGAAGAAGGGATTTAAATTGTTAGAACTGTGAATAAGGTTTTTCTGCTCTGAAAAAAAATGCATATCACACTTTCATCATCTATTTCACATGGTGATATAAATGTGGAAACATGCAACGATTAGCTGAGTCACTAAAGAATGAAACTCCTGGGAATAAATTACTCACATTGCCACTGAAGCTGTGGTCTCTGTATGCMATTTGACACATTATTTAAATTAAATTCTTATGATGGCTGAACACTTGACAAGATAATTGTCTTGACAGAAACCTGGTTTGACCTGAAAAATCAGATCGCTAAGTTTGAGGACTTTTATTAAAGGGGCAATATCATGTAAAATCAACTTTTTTGAGTTTTATATCATTGAGCGGAACTGCGTAGGAAGGCAAGGGCCAGGCTAGGCCCATCCCTCAAATTGGAGAAAATGAGGACACATTGGCGAGCTACAATTGGAGGAACTTTTAAATTTGAGCAGCCTTTGGTGAGGTGCAATGACATAATTGGACTTTAAATCAAGTCTTCAAAGGATGCAGCCATGAATTTTGACACAACCTGTGGTCATTTAAGATAACTGGATGTTGATTCCAGATGTGGGATAAAGATATCCCACAWCTGGTGTCAGGCTGGCACTCCTGGCATGGCATGTGGTTTGTCAGTCGAATGTGGGCCAGGTCTGGCAATGATGGCACTGTTTTTAAAAGGGGCAATATCATGCAAAATCAACTTTTTTGAGTTTTATATCATGTTATAATGTTATACTCTCATAAAAAACATGCCCAAAGCCTTGCTTTGACTCATTCATGCATGTTTGAGAAATCCTGCAGCGTTTTTAGGCAGCCATGCTGAGGAGCAAAACGACAGGCGGGGATTAGAAACGCCTTTTGGTACGAGAAATGCCCCTGGGACGTGTCTTTAAGCTGAACTTCCTCATGGCAGAGCGCACCCCGTCCCCGCTCCCCACACACCCCGCCCATGAATCCTGCAGGCTCTCGGGTGAAAGTGAAAGTGAAACTTAACTGTCAGCTGAGCTCTCAACATTAGCTCTCACTCAGTGAAGCTCTTTTCAGATTAAAAATACCTTTGAGGAAATGTACAGATGCCAAGTAAACGAGTAAACTGCATCATGGCAGCAGAAAACTGCTGCTGGATGGTCCGGTTCAATAGTCTGTGCTTTTCCTTTAATTTTGGTGTACTCCATTACTGTTGTAGTACAAATAAAACAAAATAAGATGTGCATGTTTTATATTATGATCCCGCTCACATTGAGCTGGCTTTCTGCTCAATGCAAACATTACCAGGGCCAGGGTAGAATGAGGTCGGGCCGACTGGAGCAGGGGCAGGCGGGGCCGAGCCTTACAATTCATAAACGCCTTTTCTGAAATAAAAAGTCTGTACGTTGAGTTTCTGTGTGTGAAAAGCTGTTTTATTACAAAAATTTGCACTGTCCCAGCAAAATGTTATCTGTTCTTTTTTTAAATGGCAGGAATTTTTATCATTCAATAAATATAAACAAGAAAATAGTAGAATATTTACAAAAATGTCAGCTATGGAAACACAGTAAGTGCAGTTTTTAATCAAACTAATTTCTGCTTTAATGTCTGTTGTACAAGCTGTACCCATGGGTTAAATAGGTAAGGGCTTTACAAATCCAGCTTGTCTTTTTAAGACTTTTTAAGTACCATAATTTGTCTGTATGTGTTTGTTCTGCCACTCGGTCTCAAAGTAAACGCATGTTTGACTAAAAGCAGTAATTTATCAGTTCCAGGTACATGCTCTATTTCAGCTAATGACTGAGTGAGTCAGGGTCATGGGTCTTGTTGTTCCTGTGTTCTTTTTCACGCAGTAGATTTCTGTCAACAGTTCTTTGTGCCTTGATTAACCCGGATCAACAGCAAACAACACTGAAGTCAGTTAACACAAAATATTATATTATATTTAGGGCTGTGAAATTAATTGAGTTAACTCTGATTAATTTTAGTGCTGAATGGGCATAGATTAAAAATTTTAATCGTGATTAAAATTTACCATCACTTTACTATGGCTGAATATGTAGGTTTGTGTATTGCAATGTACTCAGTGCATGCCAGGTCATGTTTGTAAATGAGAAAACCTGGATAAATAAAGGTTAAATAAATAAAAAATAAATAAAAAACTCCATGTGTAACACATTATGTACAGTTTTTTCCTTTTTGTCTTCTTATGGCTTATTTTATTTTATTCATTTATGTTTTGCTGACAACTGTGACCTTAGTATCTATCTTTCATTCCTCATGTAGTACTCATTTGGAATGAAAATCCTTGAATTCTTGATTTAACCATTATTCTGCACATATTTCACTGACTCAAATATGTTTGGAGCATTGTTTAGGTCCTGTTTTATATTCATAAAATCATGTCTAAGCACCAAATTTTTGTTTCTAAATAAAAACATTAATTAATAACTCAAGTAATTTATTTTACCAATATGCAATAAAGTTTTAGATTAATCGTGATTAATTCACAGCTACCTTGAAATTAATAGATTAAAAAATTTAATAATTTAACAGCCCTAATTATATTATATTATGTTAT